TTTTTTGCATCTATGTTCATGAGTGAGATTGGTCTGTAATTCTCTTTCTTGGTTGAGTCTTTGTATGATTTTGGTATCAGGGTAACTGTAGCCTCATAAAAGGAATTTGACAATGTTTTTTTCCTGTTTCTATGTGGAACATTTTGAGGAGAATAGGTATTAGCTCTTCTTTGAAGTTCTGATAGAACTATGCATTAAAACCATCTGGTCCTTGGTTGTTTTTATTTTGCTTTGTTTTGTTTTTTTGTCGAGAGGCATTTAATGACTGATTCTATTTCTTTTTAGGTTATAGGTCTATTTAAATTGTTCGCCTTATCTTGATTTAATTTTAGTATGTGATGCCTATCCAGAAAATTGACCATTTCTTTTACATTTTCCCATTTTCTGGAGTACAGGTTTTTGTAGTAAGACCTAATGATTCTCTGGATTTAAAGGAATTTCTGGAGGTATCACCATCCCTGATATCAAGCTCTATTCTAGAGATACAGCAATGAAAAGAGCTTGGTATTGGCATAAAAACAGACAAGCTGATCAATGGAATCGAATCAAAGACGTGGATAATAATCCACACACCTATAAACACCTGATTTTTGACAAAGAAGCTAAATTATACAATGGAAAAAACAAAAGCCTCTTCAAAAATGGCACTGGAATAATTAGATGCCAACATGGAGAAGAGTGCAAATAGACCCATATTTATCCTCATGCACAAAACTCTAGTCCAAATGAATTAAAGATCTCAATATAAATATAACCATTTTGAACCTGAAAGAAGAGAAAGTGGGAAGTACCCTTCAATACATGGGCATAGGAGACCAAAATATAACACCAGTATCATAGACACTGAGAGAAAACCTAAATAAATGGGACCTCCTAAACTGAAAAACTTCCGTAAAGCAAAGGACATAGCCAATAAGATAAAAAGACAGCCTACTGAATGGCAAAATATCTTCTCCAACCCCATATCAAAAAGAGGACTGGTCTCCAAAATATATAAAGAACTCAAGAAATTAGATGTCAAAATTCCAAATAATCCAAGTTTAAAATGGGGTACAGAACTAAACAGAGAATTCTCAACGGAAGAATCTCAAATGACCGAAAGACACTTAAGGAAATATTCAACATCCTTAAACATCAGGGAAATGCAAATCTAAATGACTCTAAAATATCATATTATATAAGTCAAATTAGTTAAGATAAAAAACACCAATTCTAGTTTATGCTGGAGACGATGTGGAGTAAGGGGAATATTCCTCAATTGCTAGTGGAAATGCAAAAATGTATAAGCACTCTGGAAATCAGTATGGTGGTTTCTCAGAAAATTGGGAATCAACCCACCCCAATACACATGAAAACCACTCATAGGCATATACGCAAAGGATGCTCAATCATACTACAAGGACATTTATTCAGCTATGTTCATAGCAGCTATATTCATAATAACCAGAACCTGGAACAACCTAGATACCCCTCAACCAAAGAATGGATAAATAAAATGTGGTACATTTACAGAATGAAGTAGTACTCAGTGGTATAAAAACAATGACATATTGAAATTTGCATGCAAATGAATGGAACTAGAAAAAAAACATCATGAGAGGGATAACCCAGTCCCAGAAAGATGAACATGGTCTATACTCACTCATAAGTGGATACTAGCTGTAAAGCAAAGGATAACGAGCCTATAGACCAATGAACTTAGAGAAGTTAAATAACAAGCTGAACCCTAAGAAAAACATATATAGAACCACCTGAAAAGGAGAAATTGACAAAATTTGGACCATGTGGGGCATGGGAGAAAGGGGGAAGAGAGGGAAGAGGAAGGGAGAAGAGAAGGGAGGAAGAGAACTTGAGGGAATAGGATAGCTGAGATGGGGGAAGGACAGAGATGGAGAGCAAGAAAAGAGAGATATACTGATTGAGGGAGCCACTATGGGTCTGGCAAGAAAGCTGGCCCCAGATAAATTCTCAGGAATCCACAAGGATGACTCTACCTAAGACCCTAAGCAATAGTAGAGAGGGTGACTGAACTGGTCTTTCCCTGTAGTTAGATTGATGAATATCTTAAATGTCACCATAGAACTTTCATCTGGCAACTGATGGAAACAGAGGCAGAGTCCCATAGCAGAGCTCTGAGCTGATCTCCCAAAGTCCAGTTGAAGAGTAGGAGGAATGAAAATATGAGCAAAGAGGTCAAGACCATGATGGGGATACCCACTAAAACAGTTTATCCGAGTTGATGGCAGCTCACCAACTACAGCCGGACAGAGAAGTAACCAACATAGGACCAAACTGAACCCTCTAAATAAGGGTGAGAGTTGTATGGCTGAGGCAGACGGCAGGGCCAGTGGCAGTGGCACCAGGATTTATCCTTGTTGCTCTATTAGCTTTTTGAGAACCCATTTTCTATGAATAGATGCCTTGCTCAGTCTAGATATAGTAGGGAGGGCCTCGGACCTTCCCCAAAGCATTGTACCTTACCATCTCTGAGGAGTTGATGGCAGGGGAAGTGGAGAGAATGGAAGGAAGGGAGGGAGTAAGAAATGGTATAGATATGTAAAATGAAAAAAGTTTATTTTCTTTTTAAAATAAATAAATAGACAAATTAATTAATTAATCCTGGGTGATAGGAAAGCACACTATGACCAGAAAAAAAAAAAAAACATTTACATTGGCCTAAATTGGCCAAAAAATAGTATAATTCCCCAAAAGAGATTTTTATCACATATAATTTATTTTATTCAGTATAATCCCTGTAGATTGTCTTTAACCCTGGGAAATATGGACCTGTAATTGCCTGCCATTGCTGAGCATTGAGACATAGGGTAATATCACCAATTCAGAAAAATCTCAAATTTTAATAAATATTTTCTACATAAGGCATATCACTAGAATGATCATATGGTTTTTTTCTTTCAGTTTATTTATATGCTGGATTACATTGATAGATTTGCGTATGTTGAACCAGCCCTGCATCTCTGGGATGAAGCCTACTTGATCATAATGGATAATTTTTCTTATTTGTTCTTGGATTCGGTTTGCCAGTATTTTACTGAGAATTTTTGCATCGATGTTCATGAGTGAGATAGGCTTGGTGATGTGAGAATCCCCTCTGTGTGCTGGGATTACCATTAATTAAAAAAGAAACTGCTTTGGACCTATAGCAGGGTAGAATTTAGCTAGGAAGGGAAAGCTAGGCTGAATGCTCAGAAGGGCATTCAGAGAGAAGCCATGGAGCCACTGGAGACAGACGCTGGGAATTTTGCCCTGTAAGCCACAGCCTTGTAGCGATACACAGATTAATGGAATGAGTTAAATTAATATGTAAGAAATTAGCCAATAAGAAGCTAGAACTAATGGGGCAAGCAATGATTTAATTAATACAGTTTCTGTGTGACTATTTGGGGGCTAATTGGCTGGGAACCAACAAGCAGCCTCCTTACTACACATTATAAAAAATATACTAATGTAGTAACTTTCCATGTCTATGCCAAAAAAAAAAAGAGAGAGAGAGAGAACTTTTGAAGGGATGGAAAAATGGTTCAGTTGTCAAAATTTCTTGCTTCTCTTGCAGAAGACCTAGTCTTGGTTCCCAGTACTCATATGTGGCTCACAATCTGTAACTGCAGTTCCAGGGAATTCAGTGCCTTCTTGCATCCATAGGCACCAAGCACACATACAGTGCACATATGTGTATGAAGGCGAAAACCTCATACACATAAAATAAAAATGAAACAGCTTAAAGTTTAAATACAGGCAAACTATAATCATACATTTAGAACTATGCCCATTGTTAATATACGTTCTTGTAAAAGGAAGCTAGAGATTTGCATTGCCATCTGTGCAGAAAAACATTGCAGTAAAAGGCTTAGAAAAAACTTGTTGAAATTGTTTCATAAATAAATGTTTTTCATCCTTACAAAATATCTGATTGTTATAATCCAATTGCATTCTCTTGAATTCATAGTTAATGTATGAACATTTCCTTTTAGTTTTAAGGTCATATAATTAAATTAAAGATATATGCATCTGTTTTATACTATTTTATCTATTTCTATGTATATAGACTAAAAGAATAATATCAGACATCTTTCTTATGTGCCTATTATCTTCTTAATATTCTTAATAAGAAATATTCTTCATTGACCAAGGATTCTTAATTCTTGGGATTTGACTGTACAAATTGCAGTGAATGGGCCTGAAATAATTTTGAGATGCTCAACGTTAATGTAAACTTTATGAGCACTGTGTGACTTCATGGTGAATAGATCTGAAACTTGCCTGAAGGTGGAGATCAGCTGTATAAAGTGACAACTGAATGGCAGTGAAGTAGTTGAGCACCCACTTTATGATGTAGTATCTGGTTTTATATTAAAAGTTGTCCACATGGCAGGATTATTTTCCCCCTAAGCCACTAAATATAGTTGCACCTCAATTTCACAACCTATAAAATAAAGAAATCAAGGCCTACTTTACATATGATCTTTTCATGAAGTTAATGAAGGCTAAAGACCAGGTTTCTGGCAATGTATTAAGAGTCTCATTGGATTTGTGAATTGTGTCATCTTTTGAGTAAAGATACCCCACAATTTTAGCATCTTCATAACCTAGAAAATTGGATCCTTCGTTTATTCATTTTAAGAATTTATATGGAAGAAAAATTAAAATTACATCTAAAGCTCTGGCAATACGTTAGAAAACAACAAACATTTGATTAGTATTCATTATCATCCTTATTATCATATGTATAGAAAATCTGCTTTCATTTATTTTTCAATTGCTGTATCCAAATGATTTTTTCATTTCTTCAGTAGTGTGTGTTAGGAATATTTAAAGGGAAGCTTAATGTGCCAGTAGAGTCACCTTGATGTATTTAGAATTCAATTTGGCATGAAGAAACTAAAGAATTAGATATTTGGTGTAGGTTGATGAAAGAAGTAGCTTTGGGATTTCATAAAACAATGTTTATAATCTGTTGAAAAAGATCAAGATGTTTATTCAGAGAAAACTGTGATATCATGCAGAGAAAAGTGCCTGAGATCCCATACACTTGTCAGCTGGCAGATGCAAGAGCAAATGAGATTTCACCAGAATTATACAAATTGTATTACCTACACAGAAGCAACCAAATTGTCAAGAATTTAACTGCTTACAAAAATGGTCATGCAATAGTCTGAGTATTGTTATTGGAATTTGGAGCATAGAATACCTGTTTTACATATACACATTCATATATCAACTTACAATTCATAATAAAAATGTTATCATACTTTCCAAAACTTTATCTTGAACTTAGAAACATTTCTAAAAATTATAATTATGTAAAGAACCATAAATATTGATGGATAATGATAAAACTCCACTTGAGGGGGCTAAAATTGATATATACATATATACTAGTTATAAATAAAATTTACTCATCAGAATGATGTGTTTATTACCAATAATAGGTGTTTGAATATTATCTCTCACCAAATTACTGACTCAGTATGGAAATATTCTCTATGATTTAGAATAAAAAGAATTTAAAGTAAATATGGCACAGTTGCTTATTGCAATGCCTTAAATTCCAGGGAATTTGTAAATCAATGTTAGCAAAAGATATATCTGAGTTATGTGTGTTTAATATAAATGTACATGGTGTAATGCAAAATTTTATTGAGAGAAAACTATTTGTCTTGTTCTTGAGTCAGCTAGGGAATAGTATGCATGTGGAAATTATTTAGTTTGGTTTTGCTCAATAATAATAGCAAAGTCTGTACGGGATGTTCCAAGAGTGAGTTGAATGGCCTCCTATCACAGTGCTATCTCCTGCTTTGCACTATGCCCATTTATCAGGACAGAACTGGTCACCATGTTCTTTGTGTTGCTCTTCAGAGAAGTCATCCTCACAGCAGAAGAGCTGAGAAGGTAGCTGGTTGACCTCTCGGGATAGGACTTCCTCCTGCAGCAGAGCTGGCTGTTGAAATGCTTCCGGAAGCTTTCGCTTAGCAGGTAAAGAGCAAAGGGATTGACACAGGAATTGCTGAAACTCAGAACCCGGGCCACTAAGGTGACTATCATGTGACCAAGGGAAGGGTCGATTTCCTTGTAGTTGAAAGACCTGTACAAGTAAAGGACGTGGTTGGGAAACCAGCAGAAGACAAAGCAGGCCACGAAAACAAGCACAATCTTAGCCAGGCGTTTCCGGGTCTCCATCTGTGAACAGCAGCAGAGAAGCCCTTTGGTCAAACGGAAAGAGAGTCAGTCACAGCCCAAACTCACAGCCCAGGAGCAAGGAACCTTATCAGTGCTTGTGGTGAAACCCAAACACACACATTGTTTCATTCCCTCATCAAGTGATTACTCTAACAGCTGGACCAAGACTATTTTGTTCACCACATTATTTTCTTTTAAAAGTATTTAGCAATTCTATAAGGTCAGATGATAAATTATGCATAGCAATCTTCATGTCAAAGTAGTAATATTAATGAACTCCTTAAGGTATTATCTTTTTACTTAGGGTAGGGCCATGTTAGTAAAAAATGTAAAATATTTTATTTATATTAAATATGCTAAATTGATTAAGCATAGAACACACACAAGTGCATATATTTTCCAAGTATCAGCGTATTTTAAACAAGAAAAAAATGACTTATTAAAATAGAACTTGACTATTTTTCTTATAGTTCTCACTATTTCTTCTCTCTCTCTCTTTCACACACACACACACACACACACACACATATATATAATCAGATAATAATCAAAATTTTCTGGAATTGGAGAGGTGGCTTAGTGGCTAAATCCATATAATCTTAAACCTAATGAACTGAATTCAATACTCAGGGCCCATATGTTAGAAAAGGAGAAATAACTCCAGGAAGCAGTCCTCAAATTCTCATAGACTCACCATGGGCTGAATGTATAAGGATGCACACACATATAAATAGATAGACGATGGATAAATAATAGACATATAGATGGATAGATATAGATGACAGATAGATAGATAGATAGATAGATAGATAAAATGATTTTTAAACTTATGATGTAACTATCAACCCTACTAACATTATTAAACTGGATTATATTTTATGTTTCTTTTTCATAAAATTTATGCTATGCTTACTATTTAAAGAAAGCTTCAGGTTTGTAAGAAATAGAATTCAAAGTCAGACATTTAATATTTTAACTTAAGAATTCTTCTATAAAATATAGAGTACAAATTTAGATCTTATTCCCAATTTGCTTAAATATGTAAGTATAACAATGTGAGTAGGGACACAGTTCATCAGAAGACACTGACAACAGACTTCACGTTTTGTGCGATGGAGACTTTGGTCAGCAGCTAGAGTATTTAAGAAAAAAAGGAAAGTCTGAAAGCTGAAGCTCACATAGCTGAAACTGAGAAATAGAAAGCAGTGGTCCTACTGTTGCATCTTGGTGCCCTACATTAGAAAATGCGACCATTTTCAGAAGTATGAATATGGAGTTTAGAGTTCTCATGGTATCCTGCCTAGATGACACAGCACAGGTGTGAAACTTCCATGGCATTCTTAAACTGGAGACTCAAGTTCTAGAAAGTTGGGCTTTGAGATGATACGTTGGAAAATGTCAAGAATCAGGTACCCAATCATGGTTTATAAATCTCCAAGAGGAAATTTACAAAAATAAGGCAGAACTAGTAGCATTTAAAAAAAAAACTGTGGGTATTCGAAGAATTCAACTTAAAGGAAATCAAAAATCAAAACTCAAACATCCAATTGTGATACAACTTAGATTACAGAACTAGTTAGATTGTGTGTGTGTATGTGTGTCTAGTTATATAAAGTAAAGGACACAATGAACCTGTTGCATAGATTTTTTGCCTCCATGGTTCCAGATATTTAAATAATGAATGATTTGTTTGTTTGAAACATTGGTTCAATATCTGAATCTCTAAAATGAGTGTCGACTCTTCACATTGCTAATTAACGAAGGCTGCTTTGCCCCATGAAAACCTCTGCCAGCTCTTGCTGCCGATTGGTGACTCAAGGCTGCATTCTCTCCATCCTCAACATCTACCACCAACGTCAGTTATCTGAGATTAAGTTTGTTTTCAAATCGGCAACAAGCAGCCATTGCCTCTCTGAAACATGTTCTGGCCCATTAGATGTGCATGTGAATACATATGTGCATATGTACTTGTGTGTAGAAGCCAGAAGCTGACCGTGTATTCCACTATCACTCTCTACTTTGTTTGGGAGGGGTGGTTCTCTCACTGAACCCTTTGTACAGATAGTAGACTAACTGGCCAGCAAGCTCCAGGGAATTTCCTGTCTTCACATTTCCTCCTCTTGTTGTTAGTTATGGCCCATGCCTGACATTTTTACGTGGCTTCAGGGGACCCAAACTCAGTCCTCACACTACTAAGCGGGTTCTTTACCAACATAACTGTCACCAAGAACAGGGACATTAGTTTCTACTGATAACATTCCAACTCTTGTCAGAGGCTCAAATATCTGATAAATGGGATCCGGGTAGATTCCATTTATATGTGACACAAACACATACAAGAAATTCTCCAAGAATCCCTCTGGTAAAGCAAGTGAAAGCCCATAGGCTGTCTTTATATTTCATAAGATTAACAACCCATAAAATAATACACACACACACACACACACACACACACACACACAGATCCTGACCCAACTTACCTGCTTTTTGGTATGTTCATTGTATTCTCCTGGAAGATTGTGTGCACTTTTAATTAAAGTCTTTGCAATATGATAATAATAAATACTTATAATAACAAGTGGTATGAGGAAATAAACAAGAAAAATGAGCACTGAGTGAATCTTTGGATGCAGCTCATCTGTTTGCGGGTAAGGTATGCATGCCGTGAAACTGCTGTTATCCAAGCTACCAATTCGTGCTACTTCCGAAAACACAGCTTCTGGGACAGCCAACAACACAGAGACCACCCAGATGCCCACAGCCTTCACACTGGTCCACAGCACCACGCCAGAAGTCTGCATGTCCATGGGGTTCACGATAGCTCTGTACCTAGAACAAGAGACTCAAGTTACTCTCTAGGAAGAAAGGAGGGAGGGAGGGAAAGAAGAAGAAAATGGAGGATAAAAGAAAAAAAGAGAAAGAAGGGAAGGAGAAAGAGAAGGAGGGGAGAGGGGAATAAATTTCTCTGGAAGTATAAGTACCAATACTTTGTTTTATCCTAGCTGCTTTCTAATGTATGGAAGATACAAACTCCCTGGCATCTCAGTGTCTCCAATTCATTCCAGGCCTTCTTGGCACAGAGCTCAAGCAGAGAGAATATTTTAAAGTAGAATCTCCTAAGCAGTGATGATTGCCTCTTTCACAATGATTTTATCTTCAATCAATGCACAGTACATGTATCATTTTTCAATGAATTTGATAAGCTATTCTATTTTTACATAAATGTGTTCATTTCCAATCTATCATTATAATTGCTAGCTAAGGGAAATAACTGAGTTACAAAGGAATGCAGTTAAATTCTACCTTGATTCTTGTCTCATAACTTCAGACTCTGAGACTCTCCACATTTTTCCTTAACGTTTTCCTAATCAATAAATCTCAGATATGAGTCCAGAGTGGGATTTTTCTCCACAGTACAATTGAAAGAACTGAACATTGAAGAGTATTCTGTTTTTATAGGCCTATTTTATTTTGTTAGACCGTATAGAAGTCTATCCTCTCACCTTTTGTATCTTAGTGGCAATGTGTAGTCATGACAGGTGGGAAAGGACTCATATTTGGAGACAGCCTGCTCAGCCAAGCACCCCACCCTGATGACTATCATACAGACCCGACCTGCTTTCCTGGCTAGCTGCTAACATCTATTCTCTGAGGCAACCTGGCAGGTTGCTCCCATCAATGCTTCTCTTTCTTCCTGTAGTTAGTGGTTTCACTGTGCCTTCACTTACTGAACATAAACAGTGTCTTCTACTGGGTCCTTCTGGAGTTGTTTTTACAATGACCCTTCTCTAAAGACCTAATCACCTCCTAAAGTTTCTAGTACCTGCTACCATTGTTTTGTGGAGGAAGATTTCAGCTTATAAATTTTAGGATGACACAAAACTTACCTTCATATTATAATATGCACTTCAGATCTAGAAACTTAAATGGTATTAATATATATAAACTGTTCATTGTGGTAAGATTCCTAGCAATAGGCCAAAATTCATTTAAGAAAATAAACCTAGCTGGAGAGTAGGGTAAAGATGAGGATGACCTTTTCAGCAGGGATAATTCTTGTCACATTCCGCAAGAAATATATCTCAGGAAATCTTTAGATAATACACAACTGAATGAAAAGACAATATTATAAATTCTATAAACAAAGAAATACACTAGAAAAAACAACAGATGACAAAAGCTGTCAGAACTGTAACATATCTTACAACTGTGAGTGTTTGTTTCTTTGTTTGTTTTTGTTTGTTTGTTTTGTGGGGGAGGAGGGAGTATTAGGGAATGAATCCAACACATCATGCATGTAAAGCAAGCATTATACCACTGAGCTATAGATACAAATCTGAAAAATATTAATGCTGCAAGTATATCTTTGGAAAAACATAAAGTGATAAATAAAGTCCTCTAATGAATATTAAAGTGGGCATGTTTTTTCATGCTTTCTTCAAATATTTACATTAAACATGAGAAAGATATCCCTCAGCATAAAACCTATTTAATTAAACTCAGCAGCATGGCAGATATGTGTAAAATGTTACATTTTCCCTTACAAATAGTCTCAGAGAGATATTCCTAATTGAAAACTGAATTAAAGAATAACCAATCAATAGACAGCCATAGAGAAGTATAATCATCATCCATATATTAAACTTTAGTGGATGATTTCTTCATCAATTTGAATCTCATTTATGATATCTGTAGGTAGTATAAATTTAATGTAATTATAAAATTGAGTTTAATCACAATATAAAATAAAATAGATCTCTTTTTCTTCTTGCAAAAGTAATCAGAACATCTCAAAAATCTTTGTTTCTTTGAGCATGTCTAGTTAAGCTACTGTCTTTTATGTTATTGAACATTATTGTGCAGGAAGAATGCTATAGATTAACAGAAGAAAGGCTATTGCTCATTGATGCGTCACTAGTACACGGTAAAATGTCCAGAGCACACAGTGTGTGCTCAGTAAATGGCTATTTGTCTGAGTATTAAGGACATCATTAATGAAAATCAATCGTGGTAAGTAGAACTGTTAAATAGAAGGTTAGGACAGGATGTGTACAGTAGAGACTCTCTAGTAATGTTCAGTGTGCGTCAAACTTCAGAATCACCTAGAGAAGTGGGGTAGGACAAGAAGGATAAATTAAGTTTGTACAAAGATTGAGTGACAGAGTCCCTAGGATGCATGTTGAGAGATTTTGCCTTTACTTTACTAATATTTTTCAAGTCTGCATATAGATTATGCTTACAAACAATGAGCACTGGGAATCATTGCTCTGGCTTCCTGCAGGATTTCCAGCGCAGTGGGTTCACATGCACAGTGGATTTCTGGGAAGAACAGAAATCCAGTGTTTAAAGAGTCAGATGCCTTCTCTGAAGGTAATAGTCTTGATTTCATATTAGGAAACACAACCTTAGGAGTATAAGTTTTGTGGTATTTTGTCATCCTTCTCCAGGTAAAATCTGTGTATAAAATGGCTGCAATGAGGACCCAGATGCCATAAAATCCAGGCTGGCACATTCGCTCTTCCTTATCATGTGTGTCACAAGTAAACAAAGTCACACAGCCATAACTGAATTGTGAAAATAGTATTGATATTCAAGAATAACACAGTGCATTTTAAGTCAATGATGCTACTTCTAATGAGAAGGAAAATGGAAGTAATCTAGCAGTGATTGAAATCAATTGAGCAAAAGACATAATTTACTTCAGTCACATATGGTATCGCACGCTTTATTTAATATAAATGTAACAAATTAGGCGCAGAGATCATACTGTAACTATGGCTCTGTAAAAAAAACATCACAGCTGGGTTCTTACTATAAAAGGCAACTTTTTATTTGGATGACAACTAGAAAGTTCTCAAAAAATTAATTATCTTTTGTGAAAGTGTGGGTCATCCTATATTTTTTCTTTCATTTCCTGACACTTGTTTTTCCTCCCTTTTTATGCTTGTCATGTTATTGACATTTTTATCTAAGCTTTGTTGATTTTTCCAAATTGAAAACAGCCAGGGTACTCAATGGTCCAAAAGAGGCAATGTGCCAGTCTTTGCTTTATAATGTGAGCATCTTTTTGTCTACATAATTGCTGTGGTGTGTATATGATGCTCCCAGCATGTCCTAAATGCAGGAGAGTCTTCAGTCTTCTGCCTTTGATCAGGGAAAATCTACTTGTTTCCAGACAATAGATTGGAAAACTTGTATGTGAAATAAACTCAATCCCTGAGTATTGCTATTAATGCCATAGTTTTAAAATGAATGCTTTGTGTCAGGTTCACCTATCGTGATGGCTAATCATTGTGTTTTGTTCTAACTAAATTTGCTCCTTTAGAGTCTGATTAAAATAGGTCACCCAAAGAAGAGCAGCCAAGCATAAATGTCAATTTTAGCCTTAAAGTTCAAATAAAACTTTTGAAAAGATAATAAAACTGATGCCAAAAAGACAAAATAAGGTTCATAAATTATTTTAAAAAATTTTTAAATTATTTAAAATTTTAATCACTTTTCCAGTAGTAATTTGAAAGAGTATGCAATATAAACTGAGTATCTACTTGACAACAGCATCAAAAAGACTTTCCACTGAATATTGTCATATTTCCAATATATATTAATTCTCTTATTCCAAATTAGTATAAAGTATATCCAAGCCCCAGAATCTCAGATCCTGAATCATTAATAATTCAATATGCAAATTAATAAGGATAACAAATACCATTCTTATAGCCAAGTTAAATTGTTTAGCTAAATAACTTCAGTCTGTCCTTCATTCCCAAGAGAAAGAGACCACAGCTCCTAATTACAAACATTGCCCCCAGACAACGATCTAGACATTCCCGCCTACATAAAAGACCTGAAAGTCTGATGCAGACAGCCCAGGATAATATTCCTAGCCTCCATTCAGTAAGCCTGGATTTTTCTCCCAGAAATCACAGGAGGACTTCCGTTCTCTGAGCTTCGGGTTCCACACATGGAAAATGACAAAGTTGACCAACTGGTCTGCCAAGTAGAACAATGAATGCTTGCACTGCTAGAGTATATGAAAGCAGACTTGATAATTAAGGCTGTTCCCATAGCATTGTTTTAAGACAATAAAATTTAGCATTATGGGGGAAGGAGATCACTTGATTTCACCAAGAACTAGAAGAACTTAAGGTTTTCCAACAGGAAGATATGACAGCCTATTTTTAAAGAACACTAATAATTCTAATTGTTTTCACTTAGACAAATAATATTTACTTCACATTGTAAATGGTGCACAGACTAAGCAAAGCCGTTTCCACAGTTGAATTTAGTGTTCTAACATGTGAGAATATCACCCTACTGAATCAGGAAAGAGCTTGCTCAAGTTTACACACAGAAAAATATTTTTAAAAGAAATCCAGAAGGCAACTGAACTTTAACTCGTTTATGCTGTAGATCTTCTATGAAGTTCATAGTAAGGTTTCAAAAGTTGTGGGAGAATCTTACTAGCGTGTGCGAGTTTAAAGTATTTAAATGGTTTGTATATGTTTTTAAACTTCGCTTCTCATTGCGTTTTTAACTCGAGATACTAAGCTCCCATTACATACATACGCTTTCTTTTCCCCATCTCCAACCCCAAACTATCTTAACATTTATTCCCTGGATGGAACATCCCAGTTCCCAACCATGCTGGGACCCTGTCCCTGCCCATCACTTTTCCAGTTTATCCCCTTGCTAACTATATATTCTTACCTGTCAGCGCTGAGGGCGGTGAGCGTGAACACAGAAACCCCCACCGAGGTGAGTTGGATGGCGGGGATGAGTTTGCAGCCCAGCTTGCCGAATACCCACTCATCAAAAAAGTAGCGGGAGGCATCCACTGGAACGCAGGTCAGCAGCAGCAGCAGGTCCCCAGCCGCCAGGTTAGAGATGAAGATGTTGGGGACGCTCCTCATGGCGCTGTTGGTGAGGAATATCTTCACCAGCATGATGTTGCCAAGCAAGCCCACCGTAATGATGATTAGGTAGAGGGACGGGATCACACAGCGGATCACCAACTCCGCGGTGGTCCCGTCTGAGCCCGGCAGGAAATCTTTTTCCCACACCTCGGGAACAAGCTCGCTCTCATTCGCCTCCGCGGGCAAGGAGAGGTTGGAAAGAGACCTGGGGGGCATATTCTCTTTTTCCAAGGAACCCGCAGGAGTTTTCATGCACTCGAATGTCTCGAAAAGTGCAATGAGCACGAGGTGGGTTTAACTGATTTGCTTCTAATCCTGGCAAGTTTGTGACTCCTGGGACTGAGCCACCGCGCTGGCCCTCAGAGAAGTCTGCGCGCTGCGCTCCGGAGCTTCTCCCTAGGAGAGGTTCCCTTCACTACTGCAGGTTTGCGATGTAAACTCAAACAAAAAGCAAGGCGGTTGAGGTTTTATTCCTCGTCTTTAAGTCTTAGTTCCCGTTACTATTAACAAGCAGGAGAACAGAGGTCAGTCCCAGTGGGACCAAGAACCCTACCTGCCCCACTGGTCCACCCCAGGACCGGAAGTCATCCAGGAGCTGTCCAGCCGGCAGCAACTGAAACGCTGGCACTAGCGCGGGCCTTTTGTGCTCACCCCACAGCTTTGCTCTTCTCTCTGCCATTCCTGTTGTACTGCTGTGTGGAACTGAAGAGGAGTTGGGTTTTTTGGGGTTTTTTGTATTTTTGTTTTCATTCTGCGTCCCCATATGCATCCATCCTCAACAAACGCCTAGCAGGAGGAGCCCACGCAGGAAGTTTGTGAGCGTCTGAGGATCCAAAATCTGAGCTGGCAAGTCCCCAGTGCTGAAATACTGAATTTATCAAGCCAGCCAGGGACAAAGAATTAAGTCAACGAGAGAACTGCTCTCTGTTCTGTTCTATTATCCTCTGACCACCCCTCACCCCAAATCAGGAAACTCTTTCCCACAGTTGACGTATTTTTAACTTATATTTTACTGGGATATGGCGTGCATAAAATGCACATCAATCAGATGTATGCTTTACTATCAGAACAAACAATCTGGTATAAAGCACCACTATGCCTGCCTTCAACTTAGTCGGTTCTCTCTCGAGGACCACAGTAATAGAACTTTTCAGATTACAATCATTTACCTTCTTCCCTCGTTACATCTGGGGGAGCTATACAAGCTTTGTGAGGAGCACGTGTGTTGTGGTTGCCTTTTATAAACATACAACATAAATAAACAACTGTTACCTATCCATTCTCATGTTCACTAATATTTGGAAGTTTCACAACTATAGCCAGGTATTTGTTTGTTTGTTTGTTTGCTCGCTTGCTTGCTTGCTTGCTTGGTTTGGCTTTTTGAGGCAGGTTTTCTCTGTGAACCAGTCTTGGCTGTCCTGGAATTCACTTTTTTAGACCAGGCTGTCCTCACACTCACAGAGATCTGCCTGCCTCTGCCTCATGAGTGCTGGGATTGAAGACGTGTGCCACCACTGCCTGGCTCACTTTAACTGATTTAAATACCTTTTCTATAAATATTTTGCACATGTAGTGCAAGACAAGTAGCCTGAATTCATCCTCGGAGGCCACATGTGGTGTGGAAGGAGAGAAGCAGCTGGAATGTGCAGTCTCTCATACCTCATGTTCTGGTGCACACACATGCATAAATTCCAGGCTTGAATTTTCTGGTCTCAGAGCTTATGTTAACATGTGGTGAAATTTAGAGTTTTTTGAGGTGGATTACCAATTTGTTGTTCCTTCTTATATTAGTATGATATTCAAACTATATGTATCTCTGGATATATATATATATATATATATATATTCACTCATAAATGTAGACAATTAAAATCCGATATATTCATTTTCTGAAACATGATGTTCTATGTCACTCAGAGTGGTCTTGAGTTCTTGGTTTCAAGTGACTCTCTTGCTTCAGTTTCTCAAGAATATGGAACTCTAGGACCTAACTCTGCATCCACATTGACAGGTTCACAATCTGTAAATAGAAATACAATAGTTTCTAGAATCAATGCCACCACTGGAATTTTACAAAGAAAAGACTGCTCAGGGCCAGTCAGTTGGTTCAATGCATAAAACAGCTGTACTGCGAGACAGGCAGCCTGAGTTCATCCCTGGAGGCCACATATGATGCGGAAGGAGAGAAGCAACTGGAATGTGCAGTCTCTAACTACCTCATGCATGCAACAGCAACCCAACTGTACATTCAGAAACACATAATAATGAGTATAAATTAAATTTTAAAAAGCTGTCCGGATATAAATGGCTCCAAAATTAGACAAATAACACTCTTGTCATTGGGAAATGTATGCCTGGGTTTGAGTGCAAGAAGATAAAATTTAACAGTTATGAGTCTGTCAAGGAGCATCTTTAAAGATTGAGTCATGAGCTGATAAACATGTGCACAAGACCAAAGCCACTTGTCAATTAAGCAGCTTTTCAGACATCACCTCCCACAGAAAACCTCACACCGCAAGGTGGATATTGGAATTGAATCAATTTTCTCTAACTAAAATTTGAGTCTGTGTTGTACTCTTGAATTTCACTGCTTAGTCCATTGCCAAGTTTAGATTGGCTAAGTGGAATTTTCATGTACATTTCCTTGAATAAGTGAATGTTGCTTTTATGTTTGTCCATTTTACTTTTGCAACATAACTATCATAACTTATAAATTGGAGTACTCTAAAAGTTTTATCTTCAAGGTTAAGTTTCTCTTATAGCATTCAATCTCATTATGCAAGGTAAATTTTTAAAGAAATCTATACCCTTGGAAGTCTCAAACTTTCAGGCTCAAAATATCTTATTTTATTGATTTTTATGTTTAGTGTTTTCCCTTGCAATAAAATTGTTTCGCTTCTTTCCTCTAGTTGCTCCCATGTCCCTCTCAGACTGATAGTATTTTTATTTTACTATGTTTTTTTACATATGTGTCTGTGCATGTGTAAATATATCTCACTTGCTGAATCTCTTTTTCTTGTTTGTGTGTACATGGTTTCAAGACTGACCACTCTGTATAGGAAAACCAATGAAGGGGCTCAACCCTGAAAGAGACTAATTTGTTGCCCACAGTTCTACATCTAGGGGTAAGACCCCATGAGATATTTCCCCCTTCCACTAATGTCAGAATGTCTACTGATACTGCCATATTTCTAGTACTGTTTACACAGAATTTTCAGAAAAGAGTGATTCACAGAAGCGTCTCTGATAGTCTGGCTTTACAATCTCTGTGGCCCTTCTTCCTAGATGTTCAATATGCCACAGATGCAGAAGCTGTGATGTTGGTGTATCCCTTGGGACTGTGCTCCCCATGATCTCTGCATTGTGTACAGTTGTGGTTTTCTAAGATGGCTTCCATTTGCTATGAGAAGATTCTTTGATGAGGGCTTGTAGATATGCTTATCTGTGAGTATAATGATAAGATTTATAATACAATAGGGAATTAGCATTGATCTATCAAAATGATGGTAGTAAATTCTTTCCTAAGTTCATGACCTTACTACTCCTGAGAAGCTGGCTAAGTTAGTGTTCAGTATAATTTCTCTCCTATTGAGTGGGCCTTAAATTCAATGAGACAACTGTAGATTGTCAAGACATGTGAGAGCTACTTCTTACACCTATTAATATCTTAACATGCTGGTGATTGTCATGGTTAGTGTATTGAAGCTAGGTGGACTATTTAACTGTTTTCTACTCTTCTCAGCTTACACAGCATTTTCTGGAACCAAGTAAGCTATACCACAAGAAAGAGGTTGTAAGGCTGAATCCAGCTTGGATTCCCTGCATTGTGTATCCTAAATGTATGGTATCTTCAGCAATAAGGACCCACCCTCAACTCTCAACTCTGCAGAGAAACCTAGGGCTTCATTGATAATATATTGTTTTGGAAATCATATGGACTACTCTGACCAACCCATCAAAAGAAGGTTTCTTTGTGCCTGATACTATATTCTTCTATAATTATTATATTATAATGTATGTATATGAGTGCATTTAGAAAGCTAGAGTATTGTATGACCTTCTTCTGATTGTCTATATTTTTCTGTTATGTCTATACTCATAACCATTCAGATAAGAAAACTACATAGTCCAAAAGATGTGTTAGCAAATATCCAAGTCATGGGACTCATAAAAAGAAGACATTTGTATTTAGATGTATTTTTCATTTTTGAATAAATCTCTCTATATATTCACTTACAGGTTAAAATTCAAGGTAAAGGTTATTGTAGACTATATGTCAATAATGACTACTATGAGATTTCACTAAATGATTATAACTATGTAACAACTATTAAAACAGAATTCTAAATAGAATATAAATATTATTTTATTTTCACGAAACAAAAGCAGGCATGTCCCGAAGAAACAAAATGTTTATTTTATTTAATGTAACATCGTCTTCTGAGAATCATATCTCACTAATAGCTATATTCTTTGATGTGAGTACTTATATTTTACATAAGATAATTAAGCAATTGAGGTAAGATGGCTTCCTTAATTCTACAAACAACTCAATAAAACTGCATTCTGAAGCTTATTTATGATTTCACTGCCTGTTAGATCTCTTTGTTCCTAAAAAAAAAACAAATACATGAATAAGACCATTAGAGATGATTCCATGGGTAAACTATTTGCTGTGTAAGATTGGGGACCTGTTGTAGGAATTCCTACTGCCAGTAGCTTTTAAGTTACCTGCCCACTTGGGCATGACCTCTTATACTATAAATGGCAATGTAAAGCGAACATCAGACTGCAGGACTAGGTTGTTGTTCCCAATTCGAGCAGAGACACATGATCTGTGTGAGTCTATCCCTAAATAAATAACCCTTTATTATACTCAATTCTGAGCTAGTGTGGAATGTCTTTTTAGTGTCCATCTTCATCTGGTGCCCGTGTGGATTCAGAACACATGCAAGTGGGTAAAACCTGGGCATAAACACACATCTTTAATACCAGCAGTGGAATGACAGGGACAGGCAGGTACTGGGAACTTTCTGAAGGAATAGTTTAGTGAAAAATGAAATACTCTAGCTTCAATGAGAGACTCTGTCTCAAAAATTGATGGAGAGTGATAAACTTAGAAACTGAAATTATTGTAAGCCTCCACATATTTACACACAAGAGTATAGACACACACACAACGTATACATATAACAAAGAGATGATGAATAAAATTAAAGAGGATTAAAAACTAAAATGCATGAATAAATGCAATTCCCATGTAAGTAAAAGATGTTTTTTTTTCTTTTTCATTTTTCTCTGTTCCCCTCCTTGCCTCTCCCCTCCCTGCTCCAAACCTCCCCCAAGGTCCCCATGCTCCCAATTTACTTAGGAGATCTTGTCTTTTTCTACTTCCCATGTAGATTAGATCTATGTAAGTCTCTCATAGTGCCCACATTGTTGTCTAAGTTCTCTGGGATTGTTGTTTATAGGCTGACTTTCTTTGCTTTATGTTTAAAAATCACCTATGAGTGAGTACATGCAATGCCTATCAAAATCCCAGCAAAATTCTCCAAAGACCTTGAAATATTGGTATTCAACTTCATATGGAAAAGCAAAAAAACCAGGATAGCCCAAACAATCCTGTACAATAAAAGAATGTCAGGCATCACAATCCCTGACTTCAAACTGTACTACAGAACTACAGTACTGCAAACAGCCTGGTATTGGCATAAGAACAGACAGGAGGACCAATGGAACCAAATAGAAAACCCAGATATCAATCCACACATCTTCAAAC